TTCAGTTTCCAAAGCAGGCTCTCCATTCTGATTCTGTTTGTGGCATATTCACTTGTGCATGTACATATTCATATGCATTTACTTTCACTTATAAACTTCTAAATATACAGACGCACACACACACACACACATATATATATATATATACACACACACACACACCGCACACACATGTACACACATGCGCACACATGTACGCGCACACACACACGGGCACAACGTACAAACGTACGCAGGTATACATACACACCTTTAACATACACATGCAAATACACACACACACACACATGCACGTATGCATGCATACATACGCACATCTGTACCTACTACATACATTTCCCAACCCTTTCAACCAACCGTCCGACTGCCTGGCCTCGCAGGGCCTTTCAGGGCCGTGCCTCCCAAGCCTCCCCGGCCTCCAACTGATTAGTATAGAAGCTTAACTAATTACCTATACTATTTTTATTTTTTACGTTTATTTTATTTTATTTTTTTTTGGGGGGGGGTGGTCCTTGTTATAATTGTAGGACCATATACCCCAAAATAGTTACCTATGCTATTTTGGGGAGTTCCTGATTATGATTATAGTGCCATATATCCCACGACCTTGTTCTAATTATTAAGGCCCCTACATTAAGTTAGCCTGCAGCCAACACCCGTCAATCCACTGAGCTCTTGGAGTTAGCAGCCGCTCATCTTGCACATCCCAGAACCATTTTGGGATTTAGGGTTTAAGGGTTTAGAGTTTAGGGTTTACGGGTTTAGGGGTTTAGGGGTTTAGGGTTTAGGGTTTAGGGTATGAAGCATAACGGGGACAGTGCAAATGCTGCCCTTTCTGCGCGATCGTTGGGTGGGATACTTCGTTGGTATCTTGGACGGATAACGACAGAGTTCGTTTCGACATACAACTACGAATCTAAGTTCCAACACAAATACGAGTTATGTTGAATCTTGAAGAATTACCTAGATGGTTCCTTAAAATTTTCGATTGTGACCATGCTATCATATACGCACCCTCAAACCTACTCCTTTTCTACTTGTTATAAGGGCCCCCTATATTCCACTTCCATGTTGGCCCTGGTTGAGGACTACCAACTGGAGCGAGCTTACCGCTGGACGGCCCGATTCTTGCGGAAACAACACCGGGGGGAGGCCGGACCCTGAAAGGTTTAGGGATGTGGGGCTTTGCGGCTTTGGGGCTTCGGCTGCAGAGTTTGGGGGTTTAGGGTTTAAGGATTCTGGGCTTTAGGGATTTGAGGTTTAGGTTTCTGGGATTTGGGGCATGTTAGGGCACGGGAAGTTGGTCTTCGGGGTTTAGGGCTCCACGGTTCTTCCAGGGTTTAGGACTTCAGGGCTTTGGGAGCAGGCCTTCAGGTTTAGGTTTCTGTTGGGAGTCCGGTGCTTTGGGTTTGGGGGGAATCGTAGGCCCGAAACACTAAACCCTATTATACCCTAAACCCT